CACACACACACACACACACACACACACAGAGGCACGTGTTTGTCTGCTGATGTATACAGTACTATACACCCTCAGCCTACCTTGCTGTTAATATGAGGAAACGTACCTCCACCTCAGTATGTATGGATGGACTTGACTGCTTACTAAGTTACTAACCATATTTCATGCTATCGTTCTGGCGATGTGGAATCAGCACCCCCAAACGTGGAGAGTATTTGCCGGCCTGGTGTGGAGTACGCGCAGTGCCCAATCAACCCTTGCCTTGTAGAAAGGGTAAGATAACCGCTGTGCCAAAAAAATAAGAAAAAGGAAAGGTAACCCTTGTGTCCTTTAAACCACCACTACCTCCGAGCCTGTTTTTGCCGAGGCGGAGTAGAGCTGTGCGCCGAGCTTTGCTGAAGCGCAGCACAACCTTTTTTCTTTTGATTTGGCTGGCGCCGCCAGCCGTTTTGGTCTGGTGGCACCCGGCCTCCGAAGAATGTGGTATCGGTTATATTCACCACTATGCCTTTGCCTCTGAAACGTAGTGGTGGCTTAAAGAACAGGTAAAGGTAGGGCAGGCAAGCCATGTAGGTCTCTCACAGAAGAACCACGCACCTCACTACTTCAAGAACTATCTACCCTTTCAAAACCAAAACAAAACAATAAAAAAAAACTATCTACCGGGATTCTACCCTGAGTAAAAACAGTGAGGGCTACCGTCTTCACCAAATTGAACACGTGGTCATTGTAGCAACATACTAGGGACAACTTTCAGTCTAGATACAGGGATAAGGACTGTGAGTCTGTGAGTTCTTTCTTTTTTTTTTTTTTAAGGGCAAAGACGGTAGTTGGTAGCCCATTGGTGCTGTGCTGTGTTTGTGCTATGAGTGAGCATGAGGGGCGCGGGCAGGGGCGATATCAAAGCACATACACAGATGAGAATATGTGCGCGATTACTCGAAAACTCAGCAAAAACCCGCATCGCGGGATGTCAAATAGGAAGTAAGTAGTTACAAGTTACATCATGTATGTCCCATCCCTGAGCTCCACCTTCATTTCGCAACTCCCAAGAACCCCCGAACTCGCTGGAAAAACAATGGCGGCAGTCGTCATCATCGAACGTCGAAACGCTAGCGCGGCGACTGCCAAAGCAGGTCTGCCGAAAAGGAGGAGTAATGAATGATTAGTACTAAATTACTAACTAGATTTATAACAATCCAATAGCTGCCGACTAGACCACGACCTCCTAAACCGAAAAGCGTTGTACGAGGCTGGCGGTCATTTTCCAAACCGGACCCCTTTTGACTGCAAAATTATCAAGGACTTTGACAAAAAGGTCTACCGGAAAGCCTTAAAGTTTTCTCTGGTAGGCTATTTTAAACACAAGGACCTGACCTGGTATTTTTTCTCAAAGTGATGTATTCCTGTCAATTCTACACAGCCATCCCACAATCGCTGCAGCCTTCTGACTGTGATTGGACCACTGGCAGTAGCCGAAATCTTGTCCGGCTTTGATAGCCAGGTCACACAACCATTCTCAAAGAATCTCAAGTGCTCTTCATTTTTTATTTGCTGAAAGCAGCCAGCACAAGGATACTCATCATGAATCTCTAGGGAGCAACCCAAGAATTCCCAACACCCCTCCCCCCGGACCCTCATCTGTGCACTTCAGTGACAGGGTCCGGGGGTAACATCTTTCAAATTTCCGCCAAATTCTCTCTCGCGACTGAAAGAAAAGATGCCTCATCGTCCTTCTTGCAAAGCACAAACAGAGGTACATCATCCATTAAAGTTGATTAAACAAATACCCAAACACCAAATTACGATCTGCCCTCAGTGAAAAAAAAACAAAAAAAAACCGATCTGCCCTCAGTGATTTCCAAAGGTTCCATTCCGAATGTGCGCACATAATGCACGTTTAACGCCAGAGGAGGACTTTTTTTTTTTTTTTTTTTTTTGTTAACGCCTGAGGAGAGGAGGACTCGTGCTGCTCCCCATCGGAATCCCAGTTCCAGTCCCTGCTTGAGCACGATTCCCGATGCCTCGGTAAAGGTACGGCTAAAAGGATAAAGCCGCTAAAGCGGCTAAACACGACAAAATTGCGAGTACTATCCTCAAAATCGACCACCTACGGTCCTACCAAGTTGAACCCAAATCTTTGGAACCTATGTTAACGAAGGCCCCACGCCCCCTGGGGTAACTTAACCCAAACACATTCAAATCATCTGCCCTGTTGTGAATGCAGTTCAGCTACCAATCCAAGCCAAGGCGTGCGGAAGTTCAAACTGTGACGGAGGCGGGAGAACATATCTTTAATATCATATGAAAATCCCGCCAGCCTCACATATCGTCCTCGTTCCATGGGTTTGTTAATTTTGCCCAATTCATCCACCAAATCCCCTAGCGAACGCAGATTGAAATGGAATCTAATGGGAAGAGCATTTCACAGTCCATTCAAAGCTTTGGACACCTTTCGACCAGCTGGAGAACCGGGCTCGGTAAATGTCGGGCGGATAGGACGGAACCGTTCCAAATCTTAAAGTTTGTGTTTAGGTCTCACATTCCCTTTCCCCACGGTCCCCTTGGCCACCCATCTCCACTAACGGTTAACGGGGACCCCCATTTTCAGGTCCTGACACCAACAGACCCAAAACTGAAATTAGGGTTTGGGGTTCAATTTTTATGGGTGTTTTTTTTTTTTTTTTTTTTTTTTTTTTTTTTGTGTGTGTGTGTGTGTGTGTGTGCCTGTTTTTGTTTTGGGTCAAGGTTTGGGTGTACCAATTTTTTTTGGCCTCATTTGGAGCATTGGCATTTCCTCCACCTCCTCAATCGCTGCAAACCTAATCTGCGGTATTCGTTTTTTGCCTCCATTAGAATATCCGTTTCCGATTCGGTCTGTGCCACATAGCAACTACTACGGACATACATGTTCTGCATGGCCTCGTGATACAGCCTTGGACAGAGGATAATCGTTTCGCATGGATTCCGATCTGCAGGAGCCAAAACCAAAAACCAGTGCACAGTCTCTTCTTTGCATACACATCATCAACGAGCGTTTCCTCCGAGCGATTTCTTTTGTATGGTTCATACGGGCATTTGCCTCTTCCTCACTGAAATCCCACAATCCATCAAATCCAAACTTCCGTGCCGCATAGGTTTCCCAACTTCCCCACGATTCGTCTCTCAACTGATCCACCCGCCTAACTTTGGACACTGTCAAAAAGGACATTTCATATTTTTTGAACGAAATTGAAAACCCATTTCTCGCCAAAAACTCATGAAATAGGGGGTAGGGCGTTCCGAAAACGCCCTACCCCCTCAACGTATCTAAACTTAGCTGAAGACTACATACATCCAGGCCGAAAAACGGCGGACCCCTTGGATGTATGTAGACTTTGTCCAAGTCCAGATACGTCAAGCGACATATCTAAACTTAGCTGAAGACTATATACATCCAGGCCGAAAAACGGCGGACCCCTTGGATGTATGGAGACTTCGTCCAAGTCCAGATACGTCGAGGGGGTAGGGCGTTTCCGGAACGCCCTACCCCCTATTTCATGAAGTTTTGGCCAAAAAATGGATTTTCAATTTCGTTCATTGATCTTACCGTCCAGGAGTCTACGAGCACCTCCCAAACTCACACGGTCGTCATATTGAACCTTAACAACGAGCTTCATATGAATATCGAATCCATAGCCATAATTCTTCACGACACCATTCACTACTCGTCCTGTCTCTTATACACATCTAGATGTGTATAAGAGACAAGACCCACACGGTCGTCATATTGAACCTTAACAACGAGCTTCATATGAATATCGAATCCATAGCCATAATTCTTCACGGCACCATTCACTACTTGTCTCAGCAAGGAGCGTGTATACTTTCTACTGAAATCCTCGATGACTGGGAAAAGACCAATTAAAAGAACTCGAGATCACATTTAGATGCTGCTGCTCACTTACCCTTATTTTTTAGGAGTGACATCAGATACCGCTTCCTTTAGAGTTGACCTTTCTCCATTTACACAGGCCGGTGATCTTCACAGTCCCACGCTGTTCGAGAAGATGTTTATAGATTACAATCACGCAAAAGGCAGGATTTCCCCCCAGTATCCACACTCGATTGTCCAAAATATTTTTTCACCCATTTCCAACCATCATACCACTCAGTCCCACCATCAGATGATAGTATACAGCCCGGACTTGTTTACGATCTAATTCCAATAACGACTTACTCAGCCGCGCACTAGCGTATTCCTCATCTAAACGGAAGGCTAAGACTCTTACTTTGCCTTTCTGTCTCTTCTGCTTACCAGAGGACGTCTCCTTTCCTCGCTCCTTCGTCCCCTTTCTTCTCCGCCTGCTGTTAGTACATCTTCTACCGGTCGTATTCAGGACTGGGCACCAATGCTTTATCTAAAAGCTTTCGATAGCTAGGCTACCAGAGTGGCCTGGGACCACTTGCCTGGCCGGGCCAAAAACACACACACCCAAAAAAAAAAAAAGGGTTTATTTTTTATTTGAAATTATTTCTTATTTTTATTTTAAATTTGGTAAAGAATTTCAATGTAACCCTGAGACAAAAGGTGTTCAGTTTATTTTTCTGCATAACATAGGCTTTTTTTTTCTTTTCTTTTCTTTTTGGCTGGGACCTTCCCTGGTCCTTACACGGCCGGGCCGCCCGGGAAAATAAGGTGACCCGGGCAGCGCGGCTGGTAGCCTAGTTCAATAGCACTTAACCTGGTTGGCATGAACCTACCTAACCTTGTGTTGTGGTCAGATGCATGTTTTTCGGGAGCATGGATGTAGTAACCAGGCACGCTTGGCGGTCAGGAACCAATAGCAAAGGGCCTATCTATTCCCTAAATCCAAAAATCCCTACACCCTAAACCCCTAAATCCTAAACCCTAAACTTAAAGCCCTAAACCCCAAAACCCAAGGCCCTACACCCTAAACCCTAATTCATGGAACCTAAAACCTAAAGCCCCACAGCCTAGACGCAACACCCTACATCCTTCACCCTACACCCTAAATGCTCGAACCTGAAACCTTAAATCCTACACCCTAAACCAGGAGCTAGCTCAATAGGTCATCATACTTAACTATCATAGTTCAAAAATAGATAAATAAATAAATAAAAATCCCTACACCCTAAGACCCTAAACCCTAGACAGGTCAACCTAAAGTCCTACAACCTCCACGGCTCAAACTCATAGATCCTAAGCCCCCTGCACCCTAAACCCCTAAATCCTAAAGCCTGAACTTAAAGTTCTACACCCCAAAACCTAAAGCCCTACACCTTAAACGGTTAAACCCTACTTCCTAGACCCTGAAACCTAAACCCTACAGCCTAGATGCTAAACCCTATACCTTAGAACATGAAACCTGAAATCCTATGCCCTAAGACCCTAAACCCTAATTCATAAACCTTGAATCCTAGACCCTAAAACCTAAAACCCACACCAGTTGGAAATCGTAGCGATCGCAAGAGAATCCCCAAGATTGAGGCTTTACCTTGATTGATGGCTCATTCCCATTCATGGGGAGCGACATGTCCTAACTCACCCCGTGCACACTGACCTAATGTGAAAGCATATCTGCGTAACTGCAGACAACATGTCCTAACACAATTGCGATGTCGACTCATCACATCTTGGAGCTGGAGAAAACGTAACCTTCAGGCAGGCGCCAAGAGGAAACTCGAAATGACAAAAAAGTTTTGTCGCCCACAGTTCTTTTCTCCGGCTGGAAAGTGAAAGACCGGAAAAATGGAACTCAGATGACCTGGTGGTTTGATTATAGTTTTCTCTTTCCCAGAGGGGGGGGGGGGGAAGCAAGTGTGCAGGCCTTGTCGGCCATCAGAAGTTCAGAACAGTCCGTTGGTGGATAAAGTTTCAATAAACTTTTCGCAAAAATCCTAGTGTAGATTGCCGCACGACCATACGAGTTTCTAGGCACTGCCAGAAAAGTTCCCTCTTTACCAGACTCCACTGGTACCTGCTTGGAACAGCGGGACCACTGGACCGGGTGCCGTTCCAGTTCAGTCCAGTCCCATACTGCCCACATAACTGGACTGGGACTACAAACTGTTCAGTTTGTTTGTGACTGGACTGGCCGACCTGATGCCCATTGCCCATTTTTGTTTTTTTTTGCCTTTTTGGATTTTTTTTATGTTTGTAACTTTGTATTCTGATCCTGCATTGTTTGTTCGCAAACTTTTCGATGACATTGCTTGTGGTGATGCGGTTAGAAACCCCGAATTTTCGGCCTTCCATTAACCATCTCTCATCGCCTATCACCATCTCCCTAAACCTCCAACTTTCCTCCTCCTCCACAAATGGTTAACGGGGACCTCCATTTTCAGCTCCTGACTAATGGGACCAAAACTGAAATTAGGGTTTGGGGGTCAAATTTTTGGTTTTTTGGTTTTTTGTTTTTTCGCCTGTTTTTGTTTTGGTTTAAGGTTGCTGTCTGCCAAATTTGGTATTATTTGGGTTATTAGAATTTGTGCTGTTGGGAGGCCTGAAAATCCTGAAATTTGGATGACGTGTTTCATGTAAAAGGGCCTTTACCCGATATAGGCCTCAGGCCTTGTAAAATAAAGCAGCACGGGCCTTGAAAAAGTAAAGCATTGTGAAAAGGTATCTCGCCAGAGCTCAGAAACGTGAAAGCAGGTCAAAGGTCAAGCTCTCTATCAACAGGCATATCTAAAGCTAAGGCAAAGGGCATTGTCAAAAGACTTACCTGTTCACCAGGAGATGTGTATGTCATGTCTGTTCGGGTAAGGGTGTGTCTGTTCGTGCAGGCAGTGTACCCGTTGGTGCAAAGTAAAGTGTCTGTTCAAGCAGTAAATGTCTGTTCGTTGAGAGTTGTGCCTGTCCGAAAGTAAAGTCAATAGGCACAGTCCCAGTTCTGGTCTAAGTCCAGGGGTCAGTCCAGATCCAAACTTTCAAGTCCAAATTCAGGCCGGGAGGCCTCAGCAGCAGTTGAATTTCATTGGGACTCTACTGGGACACATGCAATGCAGGGTCTGGGACAAGGAAAGAGGCTGAATTGAGCCAATGCAGACCCAGCGAGGAGTATAAAGGAGGCAGCCAGCCTCATTCCTCGCCAGATCTCCACTGGCTGTATCAGCGTGGAAGTGCTGGAGCACTTGTGCGTTAAGTCAGTAGGAGCAGCGCTGGAGGAAGGAGATGCGCTGAGTGAGGGAAGAGGATTGCATGCTGGAAGTGATGCAGCCATAGCTGCCCAGCAAGTTAGCATTAGTAGTAGTGGGTTAGTATGTAGCTATGAGTAGTATTCAGAGTAGATCCTCATGAATGAAGGGTGTGTATGCATCGTAGGAGGAAGGGATTGAGGTTGAGAGTGTTCATTCAAGATTCGGCTATGGACGATACTTACCTGAGTTGAATGTGGGCTGTAAAGGTGGTGCTGATGAGTGGTGACCACATTGATGACCTGGAGGTTATCTGCAGGAGTAGCGCTGATTCACGGAAAGTCATATTGATGAGTTGATAAGAGACTGGTGTTGCGCTGATGAGCGCTGGACTCAGGGGAACTTTGAAACACTTTGTATTCATAATTCTGATAATATAAGCAGTGAAACTCGGTCCCCTTTTCCTCTACCTTTGTCTATGGTTGATACTATTGATCGCTGCGTGTGAAGATGATGTATGATATGTACACATCTGCGTGAGATGGTCTCCAGGACCCATGCACATGCCAAAATTGCCTGAAAATGCACTTTTGGGTTGCTGTTTTATGTGTGTGTGTTTTTTTTTTTTTTTTTTTTTTTTTTTTTTTTTTAGTAAGAAGTGCACTCTATACATTGGTGTGGAGTTTGGTTGAAATGGCCTTACGGTTTTCTTATAAATTGACCTGAAAAATGAGGGGTCGGTTAACCTTCTCCCTCCTTTGATTGTGAGCCCTCCTCCTCCTCCTCCTCCTCCTCCTCCTCCTCCTCCTCCTCATCCACCTCCTCCTCCTCCTCCTCCTCCTCCTCCTCCTCCTCCCCATCAACATCCTCCTCCTCCTCCTCCTCCTCCTCCTCCTCCTCCTCCTCCTCCTCCCCATCAGCGTCATCATCGTCATCATCGTTACCGTCGTCCTAATCTTCCTTCTCAGTCTTTTGATTTTTTTGGAAAACAAAATATTAAACATGATCTGTGTGGGGAGTAGAGCTCGCTAGTGGTACCCCGAGGGGTCTGTTTGCCGGTCTTGGGAGTCGAAGTCGATGGTTTGAAGGGCTGAAAAGAAAATTGAGGAAAAGTTCACAGACTCACAAGCAAGTATTCAAGTATTCAAACTGACTTGCAAACTTCACGATATCACAAGCAAGCCAGCGATCCCTTCGGCCGCCCTCTGTTCTTGTTCCTGGAATGCAAAAAAAAAAAACAAAAAAAAACAGTCATCAGTGAGTGGCAGGCTGGTTGATTTTCACCAGCAAGCAAGCTCCTTTTTATTTTGTGTGTGTGTATGTGTGTGTGCTTTCACAGTGCTTGGCTTTTCCTAATGCTACCTGCAAGCCCAACTACTGTGGAGGTTGTCAAGCAGTCTTCACAATTGATGACGCCGAAGTCAGCTGCACAGAAGGTAATAGGTTACATATATATCTTAAACCACCAGTACTTGGTCCAGCTATCGGCAGTGGAAAAAAATAGAGTAGAAACGTCTCTAGTCGAATGAATTTGGGTGCTCCTGCAGTGGCCGGTACGTTTGCTAAAATTGTGGTTTGTTAACGGGCACGACGGTAGGAACTACTGGTGGTTTAAGTACTTTGCCCCTCACGTGCCCCTTCCTGGCCCCCAGGGTCCCCTCTTTCCGCCCATGTTCCCCCCGGCCCCCCCTTTCCACCCCCTTATTGTCCCCAGCACCCTCTTCTCCCCCCATCCCCTCTGGCCTCCTCTTACCCCCCTACCTCTCCCTCCCCCAATCATCCTTCCTTCCCACTGCCCCATCAGTTCTTTCCCCTCTCCTTAGCTACCAACAATCTCCATCTTCCCCTTCCCTCCCTCCCTCCCTCCCTCCCCCACCCAACCATCACCACCACCTCTGCTCTGCGTACTAAACTGAAGGACCGCCTTTGCTGCTAGGTAGCTGTTGCTATGGCCGTGCCTATGTGTTCTTTTAAAAAAAATGAAGGCGACGGCCCTGAGGTATCATCATTGATCTTATCGCCCCCGGGTGATTCAGAATGATTTTGTTCAGGTCATTTCATTGTGTCTGGATTCGAAGTTGGGTCTGCATTTGGGTGTACCTACTGAGACCGACCTTTTTTGTCCTTCGTGACTGGTATCATGGTCTTGTGTGACACTGTAGTGCGTACGTTGCTCACCCTGTGTGGCTATGTGCTATCTTCTTTTTTTTTTTTTTTTTTTTTTGGCCATGTGCCATCTCTAACCCTATCTATGGCAGGCATTTTCTTTTTCCTCTTTATTATTATTAAATAAGAAAATAATAATGTGGCCGTGTTTTACCTGAGGTGTTCCCTTGGTAAACATGTGGCAGTGTTCCGGGACCATGTGACCGTTGCTCTTGTCCTCCTTTGTGGCAATCCATGTTTAGTATTTGTTTACTAAGTAAAAAAAAAAAAAAA